AAAATACTAGAATCATGGTGTTGCAATGTCGATCTTGTCTTCATCCCAACATATAAACATAACGATAATGTTATTATCGGGTATGTTTAGCTCATGGTGTCGCAACACCGATCTTTTTATCACCCAAAAACAATTATTTGGCTCATAGTGTCGCAACACTTGTAACATCCCAAAAATTATAAGTGAAATTTTTTCTTTTTAATTAGTCAAACAACCATTCATTCATTAAGAAAATCCCATCAGAGTATAAAACATGTCATATAATCATCATAACACAAAATTAGATCATAGAATGCGGAACACTAGTGGATGTGGTGCGATCATGTCGGCCCTTCCCTTTCGAACCAAAATCACCTGAAACCATAAACATAGAACTGTAAGCACAAAGTTAGTGAGTTTCCCCAAAATACCCCATACTAAACATACATAACAACACGAAGTAAATTGGGTCTATTTCACCCTCGATTCTATTTCAACTCTTTCGGTATCTTTCAACCAGTACGGGTCTATTTCACCCTCGAGTCCATTTCAACTCCTTCGGTGTATTTCAACTTGTACAGGTCTATTTCACCCCTACCTATAAGCATATATTCATATCAGCAAGAGTCATAAAGACAACAAGCACATACAAGCATATCAGCAAGGGTCAAAAAGACAACTATCATCCTACAAGCATAATCCCGTTGGCTGGCATTAGTGTCTTCGACCCCAAGTACAGTGAAGAAAGTTACCTCTGAGTCGATACTCAGTTACTGCTGATGTCACTTCTATAAATACGGAGGCTACACAGCACATATTCCATTACATAAGGTAAACCCTAAACTCTTCTTCCAAAACCAGGAGTTTGACCAAAAGCCAACGGTCAAAGTCAATGGTCAACATTGACTTTAGTCAACCGCCACACTGTGGCCTTCCTTGGCCACGTCGTGGCCCTCATACGATTGACATATGGGCATTTCCCAGTCGCTACGTTGTGGCAACCTAAGGCCATGTCATAGGCGTTGGGTTTCCAACAACTAAATGGGTTAAGCCATTTTCCTTGATTCCAAGAGCTCCAAAGCTCATATCTGGCCCGAAACATTGTCTAGAAGGATAAATTTTCCCCTTTATCCATTAGAACCACCCCAAATGTCAAAATCCCAAACCCTAGGTCCAAATAAGGATAAATACCACAGTGTCTTAACCATTAAGCCCTTATTCCGAAAAGGTACTTCACCCACCCACTCCAGATGAGATGGGTGCTTTATATTCATGCATGTCTTGGAGACTTACAAAGGTTCAGAAGAGTGTTGGGGTAAAGAATTGAGACTTGATTGTTGGATCTTAACTTCCTTTTCTTCATTCTCTCTTCCAAACTTACAAGAGCACTAAAAGGGGATTCAATAATAAAGGAAATGGGTTAGGGTTTTCTTTAGAGCTTTCTGAGGCTGAGGCTGAGCAAACCCTAGCCTCCTCATTCCTTTAAATAGGGATCCAACCCAGAAATCTAGGGTTTCATTGAAATCACCTGCCACGACCACACTGTGGCCCTTATAGACACGTCGTGGCGGGTCATAAAACCCTGCAGCCAAGAAAACAATCGACACGTCGTGGTGAAGATCCACCATGTCGTGGACACCCAAGAATGAAATTCAAACTTTAACATATTAGCTCATACCTTACAAGGGTGCCACAAATATCTCTCCTACTTGAATCAGACTCCATCCTTGAAGCACGTTGTCACCAAAAGATCGAGGTAGTACTCATTCATCTCCTCCTCGGGCTCCCAGGTCTACTCAGAACCCTTTATGTACTACTAATGCACCTTCACTGGTTCCACTACCTTGTTGCTGAAGGTCTTGGTCTTCCTGTCAAGAATTGCTACTGGCCTCTCCATATAAGTCAAACGCTCGTCCACCTAAATATCATCTAATGGTACCACTGAGGAGTCGTCGGCCAGGAACTTCCGTAGCTAAGAGACATGAAACATTCTATGAATCTAGCTAAGCTCCTGGCTTAGATCCAAACGAAATGCAACCCTGCCCACCCGTGAAATAACCCTGAAACGACCAATATATCTAGGGCCCAACTTGCCTCGCTTCCTGAACCAGATGACACATTTCCAAGGTGACACCTTCAAGAGCACCATATCCTTGACCGGAAACTCCAAATATGATCGGTGCCTATCAGCATAACTTTTCTGTCGGCTCTGTGCAGTCTGAAGCCTGCCGCGTACCTACTGAATCAACTTTGTAGTCTTGAGTACCACCTCCGTACTCCCATGACTCACTGATCGGCCTCACCCCAACAAATCGGGGTCCGAAACTTCCTCCCATTGAGCATCTCAAAAGGAGGATGATCAATGTTGGGTGTGATAGTTGTTGTTGTATGTGAACTCATCCAATGGAAGATAAGTATCCCATCTCCTAACTAAATATATCACGGACGCTTGAAGCATATCCTCCAACGTATGGATAGTCTGCTCACTCTATCTATCAGTCTGCAAGTGAAAAGTTATGTTGCAATGCAGACAAGTACCAACTCCTCATGAAATCTTTTCCAGAATCTGGAAGTGAAACGCACATCGCGGTCCGAAACCACTGATACCGAGACTTTGTAACGTGCAACCACCTCATGGATATCGATGTCTGCTAACTTCTCTGGCGAGATGTGATGTGCACAAATTATACCGATCTAGCTTTAAATTTATAAACCTAACTACTTATCTACTAATGCACCTATAGGCAGTGTACCTAGTCAGTATATAATATAGTAAAGTAAGTTGGATATCGAACACAGGAACAGATTTAGTTAATAATTTAACTACTAAAACTTAATCTAAAAAACAATTAACTAAAGTGGGGGGTTATATCTGATTTTGCAAGTTCAGATTAACTTAAAACAATCTCTTAACTAAAAACAGATGTAATCAAGATAATAAAAACACTTTAGTTTAGTTTTGAATCCACCTTTTTCCTATGGTTAGTTCTTATTTATGGATTAATAAAGTTGGTTACCAATTTATATGTAATTAGCAATCTTAATCCGATCTACTAATATTTTTACCAACTCATGTTCTATTATGTAATGGTTATACACAAGCAAAAACATAATTGATTAATAATGATAATTTATGTAAGATATATCTAGATAATTATCTATGGTAAAGACAATTAATCAAACACAATTATGATCAAATTATGTTCTCCAACACAACTAAAGTTATTACCTCTATTACTCAATCTATGATGTGGTTAATCCTAGCTCTAGTAATTTAATGCTCACTAAACTACTAGGTAATCAAGTTTATGCAATTTAATTTTCAATAAACTACACTTAATTTGAATTAAAGCAACAAAGATGAACACTTTAACATGCTAGGTAATGATAATCAAACACATGCATAAACCAAATTCATATAATCCATAAAATAAGAGACTAACTTATAGTTTTAGGTTTCATCTAACTAAACGAAAGTCTACTAAATTAGCTACTCATGGTAGTAATCAAACACAAAAACACAATAGGAATAAATCTAAACATGATCAAACCGAATGACTTGACGATGTTTTCTTCTAAATCTCTTCAACTCTTGAGCTACAATCATTTCCATCTCTTCTAAGGGTTTTCCAGAGGGTTTTTGTCGCAATAATTCTCCAAAACGTCACCTCCAAGTCTTCGAATTCGTTCTAATGTTCATATATATATATATATATATATATATATATATATATATATATATATATATATATATATATATATATACTTTCCTAAAATATGGCCACCATGTCATGGTCCTCGAGTTTATCCCGTATTCTCCAAGTCAGCGTCAAGAATCACGAAAATTCCATTCACCTCGTCGTGGTGGGATAACCACGTCGTGGTTATCGAGAATCAACATTTTCTCAAAACATGAAAGTTCTCCGAAATTGTGTCTAGTCTTCAGATCATTTAGAATCACGTCAATCGGATTTACGAGTCATGAGATATGGTCAAAATACTGATGAGGGTTCAAGATGTCCAACAACATCCTTCTTGTGTCTTCTTCTTTTCCTATGCTCGCATTTTCCTACTTCCAGCTTCCATCTTGCTTCCAAGAATGTCATTTACGCTACATAACATATATTAAACATAATAAGTACCTTTTGTTCTATAATAATCATAAATATAGCTAAAAAATATTAACATATGATGTAAAATATATATGTAGATATGTATATATCAAGATGCTCTCCTGAATAGGGATAACATATGCGATCCTAGTCAATCGATCCACAGTGACCCAAATCAAATCCACCACTTGCGTTGTCCATGGTAACTTCATGATGAAGTCCATCGTGATCTCTTCCGATTTCCAAATGGGAATACCCAACGACTCAATTTTTCCATGAGGTCACTAATGCTCGGCCTTGACTTTCGTGCAAGTCAAGCACCTCTCCACATACCAGGCCATATCCTGTTTCATGCAGGGCCACCAATAATCTGGTATGATATCTCTGTACATGTTCGTCGCACTCGGATGGATAAAGAACCTCGACTTTTTGTGCCTCATCCATTAGTACCTGACGTACACTTCCCCAATAAGGAACCCAAACCCTCTAATGTAAAGTGAACAATCTCCTACCATCCTAGTCAAAAGAAGACACCTTCCCCACAATGCGCTCACTCTTGTGGTGCTCCTCTTTCATGGCCTCAACCTGAGCCATACAAATCTACTCAAAGAGTGGGGTAATCACTGTTGATGTGCCTCCGGGTTCGCCTTCTATAGCTTGTAAGGATCGATGTTCCTTTGCCGATATGGACAGACTAAAGACAACAAACAAAAACTCATAAAATAATTGACCATGATGTGATCTCGAGCCAATGCTCCGATGATAAAGTTAGAAAAAGGGTTTCTTTACGATAAGGACGATTTATGGAGTAATGAGGGAACGAAATCAATTAGGATTTAATCAATTGAGAAGTCGTCAGGTTGAATGTACCTACCTTGTGAAGTGTTCTTTGCTTGGTATTTATAGCTGATGTTGAGGGGCCATGCCCTCTTCCTACACCGAGCAGGTCTGCCACCATACCACATTAATTTTCGTACCCCTGAAGGTACACTCAAATGTACTTGTTAGTTATTTTTACAACTGTACTTTCATTGGTTTAAGGACCCATCAGTCAAACATCCTTATACATGTTGTTTTCCTGTGAGTTCCTATGTACTTTTACACTGTTGTGACGTATTCTCATACTTTATTTGTTATTTCATATGGTTCGACATATGGCTGGTTTGGTATATGCATGGTCTGGTATATACCTGGTCTGGTACATGAGTTGTCTGGTGTATACCTGGCTCGATATATACAAGGTTCGGTATGTAAGGAGGATGTAATAGATTGAGCTAGGTTATATCCTATTAAGTCCCCCCACCCAATTTGGATTGTTATTTTTCATTTAGAGTAACAATTCAAACTTTTTAAAGTAACCGATGAGGCCAGATAAGAACGGAAACCTGGATTAATCGTTGATGTGAAGGTTCGACGACGAGTAGGTTTCATCATTACCTACATTTAATGGCCATTTCGTCTGTTCGTGTGAGAGGTTTCCACTTGATCTCCTTATAAATAACTTACTCTGCCTGGTTATTTTTATCACCTTCTACAACTTTCTTCTTCTTGTCTTATTTTATCTTCTTCATCTTGATTTTAATATTGCTAACAAAGAGGTGTTGAACATTCATACCATAAAGTCTAGGCTTAATCAGTAAACTCTTATTGATATTGTGAAGAAGTATCACATCGATTCCGAGTTTCGCCCTTGTCTTCCTGAACCAGGGAACACCATCGTTGATGCTCCGGAAAGCTTTGTTGGTGTATACTGAGTATTCTTTAAGTCTGGGTTGTGTCTGCCATCATTTGATTTCCTGGAGGTAATCCTTGATTATTATCATCTTCACATCCCCCAAATTACCCCAAATGGTTTTCAAAAAATCATTTTCTTTGTGATATTATGCTCTGCACTTGATATAGTGCCTTCCATCACTCGTTTCTGTCATCACTCGTTTCATCATGGTTTAGTAGAAATATGCAATGTCTTTCCCACTTCCATAAAGAACTGGAAAGAGGAATTCTTTTTTGTTTCTTCTGCTGCTTTTGATGGGCCAATGGCATATGGCGCTACTGTTGATAGAGTTGCAAATCCTTCTCCTTATCTCACTCCCGAAGAATAGAATACTGCAAATCTTATGTCAGAGAATTATATGAAGTGGAATGATTCCGATGAAATAAATCATGTGATGGCAGGTATGAGTTCCTACTAGAATAAATTGGGAAGGAAACCTGTAAAAACCCTTGTAGGTCATGAAGTTACTTTATTGGAGCGACTACACTGCAAACACTTGGCGATCTCTGCTTTGGTTACACAGGAAGTCACCATTCCTAATACTCCTTCTTAATCAAAATCTAGTGTGGATTACACAATGAATGTTACTGGTCAGGATACTGTTGGATTTGGTGTCTAAGCCCATAACTATAATTGGTATGTACTTGATTTGATATGTAGCATGGTCCTTTTGGGTTGCCTTCACTCATGCAACTTGATAGGATGACAAGTGGAGAGAGAGAGTAGGATTTATTATATGAATAATAAATTGGTACATAAATTGATTTTACTAATATATTACAAGATTAATATATTATTTGGAATTCATATTATTAATTAGTGATTAATCATAAATTAATTTAATATTACTTTTGGGATTTAAGGAACTGATTAATAATTGAGGAACTGTTTTGCAAATCATTGATAGTTGCAAAACTAGGCAGTTGGACTCCTTTGTTATGGAGTGGACGAAATCCTATTGGGAAGCCAAATAGATTTCGTCCAAAGGGAGTGTCCATGGGGTGTTTGGTGCCTAAGCAAGGTATTAGAGTTTCCACCTGAAAAACCCTAGCAGCCACAACTATTTAAAGACCCCTATACATGGTGAATTCGACCCTATGCTTATGAAACCCTAGAGTAGCCGATTTTCACCTCTCTCCTTCATCCTTGTTGCATTGTGTGTTTGTGACACCATTAGAAGTGCAACAATTGGGGCACTAAGCTTTCAAAGGTCAAAGGATTGTTCTTGTTATTACAATATAACAAGTGAGGTAATCATCTAACCCTATTTTATATGTCAATTTCGAAATTGTATATGGTGGATCAAGGGTTATTGCTTTGGAGTTTGTATTTGCATGTTCAATAGAGAAAAACATAGATCCAAAGCAATTAGGGTTGCATGATCACATAGGAATGTAGATATGCTCAAATCCCATCAGTGGTATCAGAGACTAGGATGTTTTTCTATTGAATTGGTGCAAGAGTGAATCGTCCAAAGAACAAGAAAGTCGAAATCTGCAGTTCTGGAGCATGAACTCGATGATTTCCATAGTGGACTCGACGAGTTGCTTGAACTCGACGAGTTCACTTGCCAACTCGGCGAGTTAACTCGTCAGTTTCCAGATTTTTCGATTTTTTGGCCAGAATTTGAATAGGATAATTACCATAACTCGTTTTTATTGCCTAAAATCGATTTTTCTGTTTGCTAACATGATATCCTTATCAAATTTGAAGATTTGGTTAAATATGGATAATATAAGATTACTTTGATTCAAATATTTAACCTAGAATTTTGAATAGTTTCAAATTGCACCCTCTAAGTTTTGGAATTTAAAATTTAATTAAAAGTTTAATTTTAAAATATGAAATTCTAAAACCCTAGTATTTTGAAAAGTTTTAAAATACACCCTTTTGGTTTTGTGATTTAAATTTAAAATTACAAGTTTTAATTTTGGAAATTTAAACGGAAACACCTAGAAGGTATGATTATGGTTTTTATTAATAGTTTAATTAAAAGATTAATTAAAAGACAATTAATAATTCCATAATATGGTTTAAAGTTAATTAAATTAAAAGTTTAATTTATTTAAAAGATTAAACCACTTAGTATTTTAAAAAGTTTAAAATACACCCTTATACTATTATAACATTAAAAGTTTAATTTATTTATATATATATATATATATATATATATATATATATATATATATATATATATATATATATATATACGTATAAGAATAAGTCAGTCTTACCGTTAGTGGCCTCATTCACGAAGCTGGTTTATAAGGGCTGTTTAATGAAGCATCCTGTAAAATGACCGTCATTGGGTATCCACTCTTACCCACTTCATCCTTGACTAGTGGAGGGTCGTTAGCCGAACGGGTAGGATGGGACACTAAGCTCTCATTAAAAGTATAATGATAATACAAAGTAACTAAACTTTTTATAAATTCCCAATCTTAGTTACTTTAGGAAAATGTGAATTTGATGCTAACCCATGAAATTGTACATTGCACCTTATTGGTCAGTTAGTGGAGCGTGTGTGGTTAACCGACACACTAATGTGGACTAATGAAGGATGGCAATGGGTTTTTGATAAATTATCGTTGATCAATGGAGCGTGTGTGGTTAACCGACACATTGATTAGATGATTAATGACATCGAGACTACCAAGCTAATTTTCATGGTTATTCACACATTGTTTGTGATCCTCGGTATCCCAGTCACACACTTGAAGGGCATATGTAGCGCCCGCAGATTCGGGCTACTCAATTTAGAGACAATAAGCGTCAAAATGAATTTTTTATAGATGATAAATTAAAATACATAATCTTAACTAAGTTTTAGTATATTTCACAAGGTTTCCGTACATATAAAGAACGCCAAAATCCGAGTTATAACGAAGAAGTTATGACCTGTCGAAGTTTCGCGACAAACACTGGCACGACACTGGGATTGTAAAAAGTGAATTTATGACAGAATACTTTTTAGCCTGAGGGATCTATATGAAAGTTGTAGAGTACGTCTCCACCTACGCGAGGATGTAAATAACGTCAAAAACGGAGCTCGTATGCAAAAGTTATGACCTTCCGAAGATGTAGTTGTATAAGAGCATGACACGTGTCAGAAACCCTAATTTGACTGGACACACGACGTGAGCACTAATTCTCACCATGTGAGGAGTCAAAACGGCACCTTTCGAAGCTAGAAGACGCATGGCAAGTCGACGGAGTGATAAGTCAAAAGCTCACAACGTGAGTAATGGATTTCTCACGACGTAAGGAGTTAAACGGACACCATGCAAGCCTAGAACGCAGATGGCGAAGCTAGGAGATAATCAACCATGGCTCACAACATGAGCATGTTTGGTTCACGTCGTGAGGGGCCAAAAATCAGCCTATAAATAGCCATTTCGACCTCATCCATTCTTACACAAAAACCTCTTTCCTCTCTCTCGTTTGTTGAATCTGTTCCGCGTCCCGAGCCCGACGATCACGAACCGCTGACCGTTTCTAGTTAGATTCTATCAACTCACGCTACTAAGGTGAGTGCATAGTTACTTTCATCTTACACATTGATATGAAGTATTTTATATAAATTACATGCTATGTGTGCATATTATCTGTATACTTGTTATCTATGTTAGATGAACACTATTATACATGTTTTAAATGATTTAAATTGTATACGTATTTTATACCTATAAATTAGAATGGGTAAAGATGGGTAGATGAAAGATGAGTTGGATGATGAGATGAAAGGTGATATATATCATGAGATAAGGGTGAGAGGTGAGAAATGAGAGAAGCCTTTAACCAAGCGTTGGCCCCGTCATCTAGCAGAGTATGGATGACAACCACGAACTATTCTAGACAGTCCAATGGAACACTAGCAGGCTCGCAACCTGTAGGTGTTGTGAACGATGTGTTCACCCGGTGTACTCTAAACCCTGGCGACTATGCGACTTAGTGCATGTTGTATAAACCCTGGCAACTATGAGACTTAGTGCCTAAACCCTGGCGACTATGCGACTTAGTGCCTGTTGTATAAACCCTGGCGACTATGAGACTTAGTGCCTAAACCCTGGTGACTATGCGACTTAGTGCTTGTTGAGTAAACCCTGGCAACGTGGATTTCATGCCGATTCCTTAGGAATGAATGAACGAGGAATAGCTAATTCTTAGGGTAGATCCTTAAGAGTAAAGAAGATAATGTGGATGGGTAATTGGGTTGATTGTTTGATGTTTAAACATAATAATTATATTATTGTGGGTTGAAAACCCTATGTACTCACCAGGTTTCCCAACCTGGCCCACTCAAGCTTATTTGAATCACAGGTGCCGATACGAAGTTACATTACACTGAGAGATTAAAGAGGTGTAGATCACTAGTGTAAATGAATGTAAGTTCTGTTTAGGCTTATGTTTCTGTATTGACAATGACATCCCAAATGTTTTAAAATGAATAAAAAAATACATTTCTTCGGAAATTCTTTGATAACGTATGTATCATGTTTTACTGGGAACAAATTCCGCAACATTTTTATTAAAAGAAGTACTCTGATTTTTATAAAGCATAAACAAAATCAGTCTTTTCTGGCCGCGAAAATGGGGATGTCACAGTTGGTATCAAAGCATTAGTTTAAGCCAACTAGGAATTTGTAGGATTTCTAGACTTAAACTTAGAATGCTAAGCGATGATTGTGAGATGAGTGTCTAATATATTTTAGGTAGTACACCTGAATTGACACAAGCACTAGTTTACTTTAGGATTAGATGCCTAAATTGCTTTTATGTGCTAAATGATTTATGTTATAGCATTATATGCCTTATATGCTATTATTTGATTGGATCTATGGTCTGTTGCAGACCGGATCTAGAAATTTTATGTGCTCAGGATTCTAAACGTTTAATTACGATATTAGAACTGGAATATAACTTTTCAGAGTAATAAGAAGGAATACACGTCTAAACATTCTTCTATCTATATTCTCGTCTCGATACACCGTACGTCTGCTTTGGTGTATAGAACGTCATAGTGAAGACTCATAGTGAACTGAGTAAATGGAGGAAATGAGAAGGCTCACGATGGTGAATGATACCTATCATAAGATATCGTAAGAGTGATATCTTGCCTTTAGAATACGTCTGATAAAATAAATGTACGTTTAGAGAAGTACGGTACATCCGAATATACACATTTGATTGGCGGGATGATAGAACGATCGGTATAATTCCTAAAGTTGTCCTATCGTCTGGCGTTTCCACCACCAACCGCGCTGAAGCAGAATTGATGATTAAGATACGCATGAAAGAAGTCCTAGTAGAGTCTAGGGAAATTTTTAA